GGGGGGGGGGGGATAGGGGAGGGGAGGAAAGCAGAGGTAATACTGGAAACCTCAGGGGCATCCAGCATTTAAATGGACTGAAGAGTGGTTTGGAATTTGATTGGTTTTGAGAATGTGATCCGAACTATCAAAACCATTAATGTGAGTCATTCAATATGGCTGTGAGCTGTTCATTAACTATTATGTCATTGATGAAGAAAGTACTTCAAATACTGCTCTTATATAAACACCACCGCACTTCATATGGCTAATTAAGGGAAAAGCTAGCAGATCTAGCAATATGCTTGGCAGATCTATTAACAATAAATGGGGAGGGGGTTGAGGGGTCTGCTGGCAGGATCACTGCACGGGAAACAAAAATCCTTTATTTCTGTACATACTAATAATAATACATAATGAAAAATTCTTTGAGTTGTAAGCAACAAAATAGGACACATTATACAAAACTCTCCAGTCTCTAAAGAATAAGCAAGTATCACATCTCTTACCCCCACCATAAAACAACTGCCTGTGTAAGGGCTAAAGACTAGAAGAAAAAAATAGATAAGGCCTTGTAAGCACAACACACGGCTGCTGACGGCTTGCACAAAGTGTTGGAAAATCTCGATAATAATGAGAACTTTTTACACTTGTGCTTATTATCATTTACCGGGGGCCCTAAACTCCGATGGGATCCCTTACTCGCTAAGCATTCCTGTACAATGCAGATTCAATAAACATTCACTAAGCACTGATGACATTTATTGAATTACAGTTTTCTCCAAATAGAGAATTCCACAGATTTGGAAAAATCCTTTGGATGGTGCTAGGATCATATTGATGAAGGAGAAAAACGAAGTCTGGTGCTCTGCTAGATTGTGGAAGTGAAGAAGTGACTCATTTTCAGTCGAACACGTTCTATGATCTAAAATAGAATTACAAAACATCTTTCTTCATACATGTATGTGCTCATACAGTTACGTCTATACAGAGAAAACCAGAGTCACGTTCACGGTTTCACGGTGAGGAAACATACAGTACCCAGAAATCATATCTTCTCCATCCAGGAATATATTCATTAACTTGTTGTGTACAGAAAATCATTGCCCTGCCTGTCACACCAAAATACCTGTGGAGATGTGATTAGCCTTTGTATAGAATGGAGAGGCACAGCAGTCTGTTGGTCTTATGTTAATGTGCTTACACTTTACACTTTTCCTAATGGGAATGTGCTGAGCTGAGGACTAACTTCAGCATTCAATTGGAATCTGAGTTTTTAAAACGGTTCCTATTAGTATACCTTTAGGACACTCAGTGCTAGCTAGCGGTGCTGGAAGACACGTGTCAAATCATTATCACTTTTGGGTGCTAAAGTACACTAATCATTGGGCTTGATTGTTTAAGTCACTCCCAATTAATTTACTGTAGGATATAATGTATTCCGTGTTTATGTAACCCATTACAGTAACAAACCAATTAACTGACATTGTGACATCAGTAAAAAGCCAACACGTTTTTCTTTTTGGATAGAGTAGGATGAAGTTGTTTTTTTTGCACTTTTGAGGAAATTTGTCTTCATTTCCTGTTCTGAAGCCACAACAGGAAGTGCAGGCAAAACTCTACATCATCTCTTCAGGTAGGCCTATCCCGGCTCAAACTAACCACTGAACTATTACTTGCTCAAACAATTCATCCCCACACAGCTACCACCTCATATATCACTTGCCCCTCCCTTTTAGATTGTAAGCTCTCACAGGCAGGGCCCTCCTTACCATCTAGTCACAACTTAAAGTTTTCAGTCCTCGTAACAGTTGTCCTCAATAAAAATAGAGAGGGTTAATTTCCCCAGTGGGGACACAATCAGCAATAAGAAGGTGGCCATAAGTATAAGATGATAGTTGCAGGTTTTGGCACAGTGTGGTGACGGCTGTCATATGGATTCAGGGAGATTGTAGAAGACAGATCCTGATTAATCATAGGAGGCATTTTTTCTTTTTTTTCTTCCAATAATCTTTATTCATTTTAAATAGTTTCAAAACATACAATTTAAAACATAATTCTTCTGCATTATTAAGGGAACAATACACAAAATAAATGACATATTAAAACCACCATAAGTACTCCACCATAAGTACCCCTTATAACCTTTTACAAATACCTTCTTCATTTGTATCCTTACAACTCCCTTCATCATTCTCTTCACACCTTCCCAAAAAGATTTTTAAAAACTCACCCTTATTAATTTTCCTCTCTCTCCCCCCGTTCCCACATACCTTCCCCACTTTACTTCTTAGTCCTCAGACTCTAACTTCTATCGAGTCATTTTGAAGTCTGCTGACAGGTCATTTTGTATCCAAGGGTCCCACGTTTTCTTGAATCTAGAGATTGTATCCTTTAAAATTGCAGAAAGTTTGTAATTTATCATATACAATCCTATCTTGTTCCTTACTTGATGTATAGCGGGGGTACTAAAGATCCAAGCCCATGCCAATGTCTGTTTTGCTCTGTTAATATAAAAGTCTCTCATTTAAACTACATATTGGTGCAACCTTCTGGTCTTAGATTAAGCAAAGCCTCCCATGGATTGCATCTGACTGCCTAATATTATACTAAGCATTCGATAGACACCTATCCAGAACCCTTGTATTTTGGGACAGCTCCACCACATATGTAACATCGAACCCACCTCATTGCATCCCCAAAACACTTTGGGCAGGTTCCCTCTGCAAATGTAGCTATTTTAAGGGAGACCTTAGGAGGCTTTTTTTTCAACGGTCATGGCTATTTCCCTGGGGTAAAGCCTATGGGGTCTATTCACTAAGCTGCCGTAGGCATCGCTGAGCCGCTCGGCCATAATCGGGAGCTGTACGGGCTATAGTGAATAGCCTGTACAGCACCCCTTCAGTTCTACTGAACCGAAGGGGTGCTGGGGCCGAAGCTAGCCGAAGGATCGGCCAAAGCTACGGCTAGATCCTTCGGCAGCTTCGTGAATAGACCCCTATATGTCAGGGATAGGCAAACTTCAGCCCTCCAGATATGGTGCAATTACAAATCCCATTACGCATTGCAAGACTCTGACAGCCACTGGCATGCCAACCAGAGGCAGAGACATGATGGGATTTGCAGTTTTACAACTACCTGCCATTGGTGGCCTTTTTGTAAAAGGCTTTTTATGATATCAATAACTTTATGTCACTGACCTGAAAGAAGCATGCAGCACATGGAAGTCAGAGAAAGGTCAGACTTCCTTACTTCTAAACTTGCTCCAGCATTGAACCTGAAGCATCAGCATGACAAACATGGCACTAGCATTTTCAGAATGAAAGCTCAGCCATGGCCCTCTCCATGTTTCTCTTATGATAGGCGTACTTTAAGGCCAGCATTACAGGTGTGTACACTTTACCTAAACCGGGACTTTTGTTTGACTGTGTGTATCAATAAAAAATGTTTCTTTGAAGTCCAACTACTGGCTGTTTAATCAAATTAAATTCGGACTAAATTAATTTGAATGAGTTTTACTTCTGCGGCAACTATTGGCTGTGCTCCCTCTCACCATTCTGAGAGACATACCCTCCCTCATCCTAATTTGGGTGCTGTTTGGCTGCAACTTATGTGTGGTGCTCTGTGGAAAAAATGAACAAGTCTGGCACCAGTCACACAGATGTTTTTGTTTTGTGTAAAAGCTGATAATTCCTCTGGGCATAAATGGCTGCTATGGAGCACTCTACACTGGAAAATTGTCACCAGATGAGCAAAATTCTGAGGTTTTGTTTCCTTGAAATTTCAGTGAAAATCAGGAGATTTTTGCAAAATTTGCAACTTTTGGGTAAATGCAATGGATTCCATTGGCAGGTGAAATTAGGGTGGTTTTTGGTAGTTTCTAAGGGTGTAATGTGCTTGCAATGGATCCTGAGGGTTTTAGAAGCTTCATTATTCCTACACCAAAAAAAGGCCCCTCGTTAACATTATTTTACAGAATGAAAAAAGCACAAAAACTAAAATAAAAATGTATAGTACAGAACATAAAAAAATCCCAAATGAACATACAATAAAAAAAATCTGGAATAATTAGTTAAAAAACCTGTTAAAAATACTGAAGTTGTGTTTTATTTTAAAGGAAATATAATCAGCAAATGTGTGAGTTTGTGTTTCAGTGAAATTTAGCACAAATTTGTCATTTTGTGCCGAAATCAGTTTCACCTCAATCACTCTATCCCTTGTCATACGAGATGTTTCAACCAGTGGCATCACTTTCAACTCAGGTGACGTCTGAGTGACCTTCATGGCCAGGACCTCCGGGTAATTGGCTGATAGGATTTATTATTTGGTGTTCTTAAATGACAATTAATTTAAAGTGCAACCGAAGCCAAAACTCTTTGTTTTTCTTAGTTTTGGATTTAGTGTAGAAAGATTAGAACAGGTCAGGTTTTTATTACTGTCTGTGCCCCCATTAGGGGGATGCACCCTCTCTATTGTCCTGGTGACTGTTATCACTGTAAGTGGAAGTAATAGAAAATTCCAAACCTTAGGTTGTCATCAGAACAGGAATAGAAGGGAAATTTTCCAATGGGGACACTGGTTCTGGTGACCACCAGTGATTTTCCTCTCATTGGAGGGATTTTCTCTCACTTCCTGTTGTGGGTATGGGACAGGAAGTGAGGGGAAATCTCCCCAATGGGACCCAGATGGCAAAAAAAAAGCTGACCGGGCTGTAACCCTCTATCCAAAAAAAAAAAAAAAAAGTTTGGGCTTCAGTTCTTAGGAGCACGAAACACTAAATTAAGCGATCATCATAAAGAATTTTGAAATATGAATGGCTACTTACCTGATGC